GGCAGGAGCGTCCAGAGGTGCCTTTGCCTAGCCTAAAGGGTAGGAAGTAACTGAAGATTTTTCTCCAGCTCTCTGGTTCCTTTAGCAGCCTTTAAAATAGGCAGTGCTTCCTTGCCAGCGTAGAATGAAGTGAGCGTCTACTGTTACTTCGCTTCACTGGCCGCCTTCTTGCTGCTTGTCTGTGCGCCCGCCTTCTAGAGGAAAAAAAAAAAAAAAACCCAAACCAAACCCAAACCAAACCAGCAAAAAACTTAGGATACTTATTTCTGAAACAGATCCCTGAATAGGGATGGTCTGCCTGATGGTTTTGGATTATTGGTGATATTTCTGCTTTTGGTATTTTTCTTTGGTGGTTTTTAGCATTGCAGTTCTTTTTAAGTTTGGTTCTGAATGAGATGTGAGAATGAAACTTGGAGAAATGAGAGGGCCTCGATCACGAGTGGAAAATCCCCGTCTTGTGAGTTCTTGTGTGAAATGCAAAATGCAACTGTTGTGACCAAGAGTGAGGTTTGAAGAGCCATCTTAAAAAGGAAGAGAAAAGGCAGGTTTTATTTTTATTTTTTCTTTTTAAGCATTTAAGTTATTGAAGTAACAGTTGTATTTAAGCAGGGATCTGGACAGTACAGTTTTTTCTTGCACGAATACAGTGTTTTAATGAGCAGTCTTAACCCTAGTATGATCTGGACTTGCAAGATTTTCTGATACTGTTTTCAGAAAGGAGGAAAACTTTCTTTTTTTTTTTTTTTTTTTTTAGAGCTGAAACTCTGGTAGTGTATAATTCACTTTTATGTAGTTGGGCTTTGAGAGCCCAGAGAATTGCCAGTGATTTGAGCCCCGAATTTCACTGAGCTCCGATACAGTTATCGTGCCATGTATCAAGAAACAGCATCCCCTCGGTGAGAGGCAATCATTTTCACTGAAGGTGCAGCTGAGCCTTCCCCAGCACTCCGTCACAGCAACCTACGAGTCATGTGGATGTTCTTGATCTGAATGCAACTTGGGAGTCCAGTGCCTGGACAGAGGAATAGGCCTCAGCCAAGTCAGGCTGACTTCAGCTGTAGTGTAAAAAAACGTTGTGTTTTCTGGTGTATGGTGGATAGAGCTGCATGCTAGAAGAAAAAGGGCTGCGGCATTGGTTTCCTCTTATGTGGCTACGAGGTGATTTTACCCCCATTACGTAGGTTGGGCTGGCTGAAGTGAACAGCCCCGTGGAGGCAGGGTGTGGTGAGTGATCTCTTGGATATGCTCAGCTGACTGCATTTATTTTGGACTAGACAGGGCAAGGGTTCGGACAGTGTGCTGTAAGGAGCCGTGTTGTTGGGGATGACGAAGCCGAGCCAGATCCTTGCCATCAGTTCCTGGTCCTGTTGCTGCAGAATTTTTCCTGGTGTTTTGGACAGGAATGGGACAATTCTCCACATCCTTGCTGTAGGCCTTAGCTATTAGAAAAGCATGGGGATCGTGCTGTTTGGCTGATAGCTTTGGCTGCCCTTTCTTATCATGTTGGACGTTCTGTTGCTCTGGTTTGTGTATAGTCCATCTTGGGAGGAAGAATAGGATACTAATACCAGGCCATAGCGAGCAGCCTGGCTGAGAGGTAAGCTTGATTCTGCTTTGCCCTTTGAAACCTCGTGACTGGGGCTCTGTTACATGTGGCCAACTGCTCTCCTTATCAGCAGCTCGCTGCTGTTGGGTGATAGTGGTAGCTTATAGGGAAAAAGAGTCTAGCCTGTTTGTCCTTTTTATAAGGAAGATGTTTTTCCCATGTAATTCTCTCACAGCTTTGTACTTGAGCTCTTTTCAGTGTGACAGGCAGATCAAATTCTTTGTCCCAGAAGAGATATTAGGAGGTTGTGATAGTTCACAGCTGATGATGTTACTCTGCCCATGGTCTGTGAGGTTTTTCTCTACCCTCTCCCAGCTTTTTTAAAAATTAGTTAGGATTTTTTCTGTGTTGGCAAGTGTGATCATACCTGTCCTTGCTGCTACTGAGGTGCAGTGGCGTTTCAGAGGAAGAGAATGGAGCAAAATTATTAACAGAAAATCATTCTCAATGGTGTCAATTCAGAGAAGTGAGAAGCTGGAGGGAAGAGAGATAAGTCTGGAATATAAAAGTTGTTTGCTAGAACCTCTACTAGAACTTAGGATTTTTTGGCACAGATTTTGCCATCTCAGCACAAAGTTGATCTTTCCAGGTCTGCATGTGTTTATTTAATGTGACTCTTGTGCAGCACAGCATACGGCAGTTGCAAAAGAAAAACCCCAGCTCAGCAAGCATCTGTCAGCATGGATGAATCAAAAGGAGGGTTTGTTAGCTGAGGGTGGGATGATCCCCTTACCCCTCAGAAGACCTGGGAAGAGTCTCAGCCTCTGAAGAGAAAGAAGAGTCTGTGGCTGACAGTCTCAAGCAGTTTGTGGGGAAGGTGCTACTGAACTCGAAAAGCTCAATGGATGGCGCAGGGCTGTGCTGATTTGTTCTGACTTGTGAGTCACCCAGAACCTCGCAGGGAAAATACCTTCTGAGTCCTGTCATGGAGCCTGTCAGTTTTTGCCATGCCAGCCAGGGCTAAAGTCCAACAGGGAGATTTTTTTTTTAGATGAATCCTGGATTGACTATAGCACACAGACTGCTAGAGCACTGTCTCTGGCAACATGCATCTTTCAGATGCCAGTTGATAGAGAGTTTTTGTTTTGAATCTGTGTGTCGTCTGTGACCACTTCTTCGGGGAGTGCCAGAAGAGATGGTAGGACCTTGTGTTTCCTCTCAGCTCGTAGCTAGTCAAGTGCCTTAACGGTGAGGGTTGCTGTTTCAGGGTGGGAAGAGGAGAGGATTTGCACAAGGTGATACGTTAAATCAGGAGCAGGCTTAGAAAGGTAAATCAGGTCAAAACTCTAATGTATATACTAAATCCTGACCTAAAGTACTGTGTGCCATAGTCCACTTACGCTTCCAAGGTGATTGTAGAACCAACAGAGGGATAAACTGCTGCTGTTGCTGTTTCTGCCAAAGCCACCGGCACGGGCGTGAAGCACGTGGAGTTTTATGGATGGCAGAGTAGAGCTTCCTTTTAACTTCTGGAGGGACAGTTAATACTGCAGCAGTGTAGGGCCTGGGGGATGGACGGATGGTGGAAAAGATGTGAATGTTCTCTCAAGGAAGGCAGTACAAAAAAATTTCATCAGAGGAATGGGAAGTTCTGTCTTGTCATCTTTCTGAGAGGCAGGAGAGGTGTAAGGTAGGGCAGGCAAAAGAACTGAGTGCCATGACTCTTCTCATTCTGACCAGAGCACTCTGCTGCCCGAGAGTTTGACCTTAGGAAACCCATTAGATAGGACTGTGTCTGGTTCTGGGTTTGTAAACTACCAGTGGTGATGCTGATCTATATCTGAGAAGGGCAATGCAATCAAGACCGGTGGATGTAGAGATGCTGGAGAACTTTATTCCAACAGGGTTTTAGGTGCTGTCTTTTCATGGCCTTACTGTTGTGCTTAAAATCAGAATAGTTCTGGTGTCTTGCAGAGAGTTAGAAGAAAGATGGTGAGTCTCGGCTTTTGCCAGTGTTGGTTTTGGAAGATAGAGTCTGTACAGTCCCTTTAGGTAAAAGTATGTGAGGGTCTCCCTGCTCTCAGACCTTGCGGTTGGTAACAGCAACAGGTTTTAGGTAGGGGCCTTCATTTTTTTTTTTTTTTTTTTTCAATAGTTGAAATCAAATCATTGACTGTAATGTTCTGGTGTAGCAGGGTTTCTGTCTCCATCTGATGATGCCATGTATTGCTGCTGAGTCTTGATTTCTTCTGTGAATCTGCCAAAGCTCGAAAAAATCACAAAATTTAATCCAGCATAGTATTACACTATTTTGAAAGTGCTTGTTACTCTGATACAAGATAGTGGTTTTGTACTGTCCACCCTAATGGCTGTGTGCAGAGTAAGGGCAGGTGGCATTTCATTGTGTAATACAGTCTTTCAGATGATGATAATTTGCTGTAACAAGCAGGAAGCGGTTGTGCAGGGGCCTAATGGCAGGGATGTGTTTTTTGGCTCTGACTCACTACTGATTTAATGTTGCTTTTTGTCTCTGCTGTGGTTGTCTTGCGTCGTGTTTGACCTGGACCAGAAGGAAGGCAGGATGTTCCAGTCCGTGATGCCTGTGATGAGATTTTCCGTGTCTGACAACATCACACATTCAACTGCCCTGGTGACAGCACTGGATAATGTGACAACTTTGTCCCCAACAACAGCGCAGGCAATCAATGACACCAACATCACTGTGCCGCACAAGTGCCTGTTGTTGCTCTATGAGGACATTGGGAAGTCCAGGTGAGATGGAGGAAATGGGACCATGGTCTGACTCTGGGCCAGGGGAAAGAGCTTTCTTTCTCAGAGTTTGGTTGAGAAGGAGCTGGGGCTGGTGTCTTCCCTTCTAGATGCTGAAGAACAGGAAAGAAACTGTTTTATTTACTTTTTGCAGAGTCCGCTACTGGGATCTTCTGCTCCTGGTTCCCAATGTGCTTTTCTTTATGTTTCTTCTCTGGAAGCTGCCCTCTGCCAGGGCCAAAATCCGGGTCACTTCCAGCCCAATCTTCACTACGTTCTACATACTAGTGAGTACCGCTCTGTGCTTTTGAACTAATGAGTGGGTTTTTGTTACCACTCATGAACAGTATCACTGAACTAGTAAAGAGAGAGCCTAAACCAGATCTTGCAGGGATAAAAATATTGTTAGTTGAAGGTGTACTACAAGTAGACACAGGTTTGGGTTTTTTTTTTTTTCCCTTCACTGTCTGAATTCTGCTTTTCACAGATTCTGGGACCATATCTGCTGGATTTGAGTGGATTTTGTTTTCCTGTGGTGATTTTTTTTTTTCCTTTCCCCTTTTTCTTCTTTTGTTGCTTTGTTGTCCTGGAATCTAGTATCTTACACTTTCCTTGCTCCTTGCAGTAAGTAGCATGTGACACAAAACCAGTTTCTCACTGAGGTAGTGGAAGTGAAACACTGGAGAATAATTTGTGTGAAGCTGTTGAAAAGCTTGGTCATCTGCTGTAGAAAATGGTGAAGTGACAGGGTTCTGGTTAGTCTGGGAATGTAGAAACCCAACCCTGTTAGTTTCTTTCCCATCATATCAAAGTGGCTGCTGACTTGATGATGTTCTTGATACTTCTTAAGGTGTAAACAGAATATATAGGCAGTACAGTTACAGTTCTCAAACATGTAAGATCTTGTCTGTTCTCCTCTCCCTAGCTTTTTAAAAAGGCACATGCAACTTTTGATCACATTAAGGTAGTCTCTTCAGTAATCTCTGAACATCATACCTATTAACTGTGATACTGCTCACAGGGTATGGTAAATGCAGCTAAGGACCTACCTGAATTTGTTAAAAAATATCGTTCAGAAGCTTTGTCATAGGTGTTTTTTGAGATCCTGGCTTGCCTCAGTGCATAGCGTCATGTGCTTGCTCTTTCTCAGTGAGATTGGTACACATTGTAGTAGTAAATGTGTGTTTGAATTGGGTTAGATGGGAGGCATCCTTCTTTGGGCTGCGTACGGGTGCTGGCATAGCAAAACTGAAGAAGCATCAAAACCAAATCTGAGCTAGTAGCCTCAACTGAATCTTTGGTGGGAAGTCTTGTGAGCTCTTTCAGTCTTGGAGTGTGGGCACTGGGCTTGTGCACAGTTTTGGATAACCAGGTATACACAAAAATGCTCCAAACTTTTAAAAATATTACTAGCCATTTCCAGTCCGGATTTAAATCTTCCTTTATGCTTCCAGTAATGCACATGACTCAGTAAGAAGTTCATGCCAAAGGTTTTGAAAAGCAAAACTCCTGAGAAATCAAAGAGAAGAAAAAAGTGAACTCACTTTATGCTGTTGACTTTCTCAAAACGGAGTAAGAAGCAGAAAGTGATGAAACAGCCGTAAGAGGAAAACGCTTTCGCTCAGCTTGATCTTCTGGAGTATGTTATTGAGAAATGAGGTTGTAAGCGTGTTCTGTGAGGATTTCCTTTCAAACAGCTGTTCATCATGTCTTGAAGGAAAGCCTTCTTGTGGAGTCAGTGATGAAAGCTAAGTTAGTAGATTGGGAAGAATTTCTACCTGCTTAGAGAGGAAGCAAAAAGGGTGTGTTTTCCTGCGCAATGAGTTGTTGCTGCTCCAGAACACCATTATATTCAGGGACCCTTCTTTTTCGTCAGTGTTTTCTCCCAGAGTTTTCCACCCCAGCAGGAATCTTGTATTATTCTTCTCTCATGCCATTTGCATCCCTTCTTTTTCTAAGAAGGAAACATTCTGCTGCAGGTGGCTTATTGGTCATTTCCATCCTTCAGCTACCTTTAGAATCAACTTGGACTCTTTTTGTTCTCTGATAGATTTAGCTGTCTCATACCTGCATTGTTAGAATTAGCCTGTGACTTGGAGAATTTTATCTGGAACAGTCTGCTTTCTTAGAGGGTAAGTCTGCACAGCAGAGGGTAGATATATCCAGCTGAGCTCTTAATTGCATAGTATGGCTGTGACAGCACAGGAGTTGGTAAATTAGCCTTGCTGAGCTCCATGCTGTCATGCTTAAATGTTACACGAGTTGACTTGGGTTTCTCTATGTTGCACTGTGCAGCAGGATAAGACGTTTTAGAGCTGTTGGCTGCAGCTGAATTTTTTCCTCTGCATTCCTGAGCATTGTCAGTGTTGAGTGAGAGAACTGCAGGTTTTAGTTTTATCACAGATCTGAAGTGTGGTAGTTGGTATTGAGTGGCTTCTGTTATCTGATGTGACTGGTTTATTTAGTCATACCGAGCACTTGATCTTGTAATTTGGAGGGATATGGTTTTTGCCTGTTTTTTCTCCTCCCCTGCCCCAGTGGACTGAAGTGTGGGAAGACTGTTTGCCTTAAAGATACTGTTGTAAGGAGTGGACAAGACCTCTTCAGAGCTGTTTAAACTGACAGTTGAGGAAGTCTGTTCCTTCCTAAATTCTAAGCCAGTACTCCTACATCTAACAGGCCTGAGGAATCTTCTTCGGCAAATTAACTCTACTCTGCTACAGGAAATGCTTAGTACACGTTATCAGGCTTGAAAGCTGACCTGGAAATGGTATTCCAAAAAGGTTTCTGGTCACTACTGCATATGTGCCTTTTGACATGAGCTCACTTTTGGTATCTTTTTGTGTAGGTATTTGTGGTGGCTTTAGTTGGTATTGCCCGTGCTGTTGTCTCCATGACTGTGAGTGCCTCTGATGCTGCCACAGTTGCTGATAAGGTAGGTACAACACTGGTTTTAGAGGCTCTGCTCTGTGCAGTTCTGACCACAGCAGTCTGCTATGGCTTCCCTTTTATGTGCATACAAGAATAATGTGGTTTTTTGCAGTACTCTTAGCTATGTTTACTGTGGAATCCTGTTTGATAGCTCTATCTAAATGATCACAACATCCAGGGCTGTAAAACAATGGACTTCCTAAAATAGATGCACAAATAGTGGCAGCAAAACTTTCCTGTTGTGGGGATGGAATGACTCTGCTTTGCGAGAGCTAAATATTCAGATACCTTTAGTGGATAGGCAAGACCTGGCCTTTGTTATTCTTGCAGTATATGAGTGGCTTTTTGAAAAATATTTAATTCTTTTGTATTGAAAGTAAATAAAACCAAATTCCCTTTTGAGACTGATATCTGAATGTCCTTGCAGCCACTCTGAGCACAGGTCAAACCCTTAGCAAACAGGAAATAGCTTTGTACGTGCTGTTCCTTTGTAGTCATTTGACTTGTAGCAGAATATTGCCTAAACCAAAAAGCTCTGTAGCTCTTGAGCTGTTAGAGGAAGAAGAGCCACCCACAGAGTACAGGTCTTCTGGCTTTATTCTCTGGGATCAGTTTGGTTCTTTTACTTTTCCCTTTAATGTTACCCGTCAAAGCATTGTAATGCACTGCTTATTGTGAGTGGCTGGATGTTTGTAGCATTGTCACTCACCTCTGTTGAATAGATGTAGGTCCAGGACTTGAATAATGGAGAAGAGGTGAGAAGGTGCTTTTCTTCAGCTCTGGTGTTGCTCCTAAGTGCACCTTGCTGGGATGTCATGCAGTAAGACAGATACTCTGTGAATTTTTCCTGTAAACACATGTTCTATCATTTCTATTATGTTTTTTTTCTGTTTTCTCTCATATATATATATACACACACACATACACACACACTGTGTATTTTCTCAGATCAGAAGTGTCTCATCAAATGCCTCTTAAAATATTGTGTATCTTCAAGAGAGAGTGCCATTCAGTGTTCAGAGGAAAAGGATTAATAAGCCAGAATCTGGGTTCTCATTCTAGGTTTGGCACTGATTTATTGCATGACTACCTGGAAATTTACCTCAGCTGCTGTTTTTTTGGTCTTGTTCCACCAAATAAAACATGGGAATGAAAATGACAAGCTGGAAGTGGGAGGGCTTTAGAGTTGAATATGCTTTAGATTTAGGGACCAGTAGCTTTGGAGGAGTGCAGAATACTGAGTTTGTTCAGTCATAACTGTACTGCAGAATCAACTGCTTTAAGAACTGGCCCTGTTTAATATTATACTTCTGAGGTCTTCTTGGGTTTGTGCTCCTTGGGAGTACAGCAGAAAGAACACATCCAAGACAAGTGACAGATTCTCAAGTGTGGCGAACCACAGCCACTTCCTCTCTCTGTAGGCATGCTATTTGCTCGTTCCCAAGCAACTGTTCTGTTTCACAGGCATGGACAGGGCTTGGAACAAGCATATAATTAGTATACCTACAAAGTATCAGGAAGGTTTGTGGAAATGACCCGCTCCATTCAGAGGCTGCCATCCCCTGGAGCAGAGAGTGGAGTTTTGCTGTATTAACTTCCGACTGGTTCCTGGCTCCATCTAATCATGTTTGTCTGGTTTCTGTTATCCCTCAGATCCTGTGGGAGATCACAAGGTTCTTCCTTCTGGCGATTGAACTGAGTGTGGTGATTCTAGGCCTTGCCTTTGGTACGTGTCAGGAGGTTTTTGAGTGCTTTGAATGTTTCCTATTCCTTTCCTTTCCACAGAGGCTGCATGTGTAAGTTTGTGGAGATGCTGATTCTATAAAGTGAAGGAGGTCTAGAATAAAAGACAAAGGACAAATTGGGCAGTTGTAGTTAGAAATGGCTGAAAGCCTGATTATATTTACAGATCTATGGCTTGTGCAATTTCAGGGTTTATATGTGCTTTGTCCTGCATGCATGTGGTGAAGGAGTGTGCAGCTTAGGTGAAGGTGACTTATGCAAAGATCAACAGACTGGTCTTTGCTTCAACCCCATTTTATTTAAGATGGTTCCTTTGAGGGTCCTTCTGTCCCCTCCTTGGTTGGTTTGATTCCATCCTGGCTTCATTCAAATGCTTCAACTGTACCTGCAATCTGTAACCCTACTTTTCTCAGTTGTACAAGTGAAAATGCTGTTTGTAGCACCTCTTCCTGTGGGTCAGAGGTAGAGGGAAGGGGTTGTAGGCGTCACTGTTGCATCTGCCAGCAGGACATCTGAGCACTAGCTCTTTTGTCTTTTGAGGGCTCATAGAATAGTGTAGGTTGGAAAAAGCATCTGGAGATTGTCTGCTCCAGCATATTCCAGTGCAGATTTCTCTAAATTATGTAAGCCCTTCTCCCCTGCTCTAACTCAGTCTCCCATCAAATTTTTTTCCTGAGAAGAAACTTTACAACATCTCACTGTACATGATACTGGAGTCATTGTCATTCCTGACTTTTTTTTTTGTAACCCCAGTGGAAGGACTTAGTTGCTTTCTTTATATTAGCGTGGGCAGGGGGGAAGCAAGTTAAAACCTGTTGTTTCGTAAGTATTATTTTGTCTGTTAAAGGCTCAACTCTCCAAACAGGGAAGCAGTTTCTAGCGGTTC